GGGGGGGGGGAAACAATGGGTACATTCACCCATTGCTAATGGATATAATTTTATATGATTTTAATAGTGTTACATTCACACCATTCAAAATTCAAAAGGTACAAAAGGATATATTATACAGTGAAAAGTTTTCCTCCTACCTCTGTCCCCAGTCACTCATTTACTCACTACAGAGGCAGTCAATTCCTGTATATTCTTCCAAGATGTCTTACACATGAACAAGTAAATTATATATACATGAGATATATATATTATATATACATGCTAGTATATATACATGCAAATATGTGTATGAATATTCTTATCCATTTCTCTTTTTTACACAATGAATAATATATTATTGACACTGTTCTGTATATCTTGCTTTTTTCAAATTCAGTCCTTTTAAAACGTGATTTAGCAATATATGTACATACACAAAATATACATACACATCATATATAAAGAGCCATAAAAATGCTCACATCCTTTGACAAGGAATCCTGGGCATGCCTCTTATGAAAAAAAAATTTTAAAGAAAGAACTAAACTCAAAATACAAAATAAGAAAAAAAAAAAGAGATGGGTTACGGTGATCTTTGTTCTCTGTTCTCTCTTCACAATTATTTGAGTGTTACTTTCTTTAATTAGCAGATGTAAATTTTCAAAAGAGAGGATATATGAAAATATCTGAGTTAGTATTAACAAAATTTGGCATCTAATTGTCCTTTTGGGGGCAGGGGCACAGAGATGTCTTATATCTAATTCCTGAGTTTGATTGCCAGGACTACCACCACTACACACTCAGAACATATACATACATACACACGCACTCACATACATTGAAAGTGAACTATACTTACTAAATCACCAGGATTTCACAATATTCTACTTTAAAACTACCAGGAAAGAGTGCAGCTTTAGCACAAACTACCAAGGAAACAGCAGCCAACAGGAAAACAAATGCTTTTGTTGACATGTACTGGAACAGGCTCTGCCAGTATCTGAGGTTATAAATGATGCCAGAGAATCACTTACCCTGAGGTATTTCGCTAGTGTTTTCCCCAACTCTCCTAGTCTATTTTAACTTGATTTTGACTAAAAGATAGAGTGTATAGCTCAGAGAAAAAAACAAGTCTTCTTATCCACAAGGAGTCACTCACTACTTGACTTCTGCAGGAGACAGTTAACTAATTAACTCATTACATTAGAGACAATTACTTCGCAATGTCAGTAAGCCTGTTGCCTGAACAGACAGAACAGAAGAGGGAGTTTATAACTGAAACTAGGATCCACTCACAGTCAAGATGTGAAAACATTTCAGGTATTAACAAAAAAAAGCAGGTACTGTAAAATGGGCAATATATTTAAACCAAAAGTATTTTTTAATACTTTTAAAATAAAAATGACCCATTTATTTTAAACAACTTCATTACTTTTAATGCTTATTTTAATTGACTGGGTAATAATGTTTTAAACAAATTTTTAAAAAGTTAACATGGCCTACAGTAACACATAAGGCTAGAAATAAGAAAAC